TATATATATATATATATTATAGATACGGATTTGCAATTATATATTTCTCATTCTTCCCACTGTGATTGATGACATCAACAATTATATATTTCTCATTCTTCCCACTGTGATTGATGACATCAACAATTATATATTTCTCATTCTTCCCACTGTGATTGATGACATCAACAATTATATATTTCTCATTCTTCCCACTGTGATTGATGACATCAACAATTATATATTTCTCATTCTTCCCACTGTGATTGATGACATCAACAATTATATATTTCTCATTCTTCCCACTGTGATTGATGACATCAACAATTATATATTTCTCATTCTTCCCACTGTGATTGATGACATCAACAATTATATATTTCTCATTCTTCCCACTGTGATTGATGACATCAACAATTATATATTTCTCATTCTTCCCACTGTGATTGATGACATCAACAATTATATATTTCTCATTCTTCCCACTGTGATTGATGACATCAACAATTATATATTTCTCATTCTTCCCACTGTGATTGATGACATCAACAATTATATATTTCTCATTCTTCCCACTGTGATTGATGACATCAACAATTATATATTTCTCATTCTTCCCACTGTGATTGATGACATCAATACTAAACACTATATATATATATACGGATTTGCAATTATATATTTCTCATTCTTCCCACTGTGATTGATGACATCAATACTAAACACTACACATGTACAAATTCACACCAATAAACTTATGCAACTCGAGCCAAAGTATTCCCAAACACACATCTTTTGTGAAGTGTGCTCATAACTAACTCCCGATATGGAATACTAGTTTGTCACATGAAATTACTTGAGAAATAAAAGTGAAATGGATTCGCTATTAATGTGATGTCATACCATGACTGGTGATATAGTCAAATGATTCGAGAGCCTCGGAAGCAGTTCGATATATGTTTGGTGATAAAACATGCACCAAGTGATTATCCACCCACCTACATCACACGTAATTGGTTATTATCATGCCAAACCCATGATCACAACACCTAAGAAATAAAAGTATCAAAACATGTGAACACATGCATCAAACAATTCAACAGGAAATCTAATCACTGCAAAAGATATCTCTTGTAGTACCGAAGATCAGGACTGTGCAAAAAAGGTTTACAACGTTGAATAGTGAAAGCAAAAACTTACCCACGCCACTTCTTTTCTTCTTCACCATTTACGACATTGTTCTCAGGATTGATCCTTTGAAACAGCTTATCGATTATATCTGCAAATACAAAAAATGGAAATTTAACAAAATACAAAGCACTCAATCTCGAGTTGGATATAATTAATTACCACAGCATCAAGAAGAAAGAAGCAGATACAATCTTGTTAATTATGGCCCCAAATAATCCAAGTACCTGAAGAATCAACCATCTGTTCACCATCAACTTTCAGTATCGGCACCTTCTTGTAATCAGACCATTTAATCTCCTTTTTGCTGATGGGGTTAACCTCCATAACTTTGTATGGAATTTTATAGTAATCCAAGAATGCTGAGAGACAGAAGACGTTCAGTGGCGAAAAGAATCAAGGGCATAAAACCCGGCAAAATAAATTGGAAGTGAAACCCAGAGTAACTCCTTTTGTTTTCAAAATAAGATCAATTCTCTATAAAGACCAAGAATGCGAATTTCCAATTCATACAAAAATAATCACAGTAACCAAAATAGGAAGTGAAAGTTGGAAAATTTCATCTCCGATTGAACTCAAGATATGAGAAAGTGGTGCATAACTTACCTCTAACCTTGTTGCAGAAGGGGCAAGCTTCGTACTGGTAGAGCTCGACGTCCTTGGGGAGGAACTTGTCCTGGGCATGCACCTCTTGAGCCAGAGACGTGGCGTTCGAAGAGAAGCACACGTGCCCTCCCGCACCGCAGGACACAGAGGGTTTCGATAGGCCGAAGTGATCGCCGAGTCTTCGTGTGAACCACAGCGGATTCGAAATCGAGCACGTGTTCAACATCGCAGCTTGAACCAGCCGCTGTTGAGTTGCGCCGCCGACTGCGGTGGAGCTACCCATACAGACGACGGCTCTGCTGAGCAAAGCGACTCCATTAACCCTTCTCATGGTGACCGAAACGGATCACAGTGCTATATCGCTCGTCGCAAGTCTGCAACTTTTGGATTTTGTTGAAATGAAAATGGGACGAGCTCTCGGGTTTAATCAGGGTTTTTGATTTTCGACCAAAAATAATCAGGGTTTTTGATGAATTTTTACAGCCCACTTGGATGGCGACAAAACGCGTTAACGGACCGTGTGGCCATTCTCCTGGTCCGTGTAGGACTAGGAACCCATGTTTCCGTAAAAGCCCATTCAATAAAATGAGCGCAAAAGAAATAGAGTTCAAAGTAAAATTGAATTAGGTCGAGGGCATTATTGGTATAACAAATATGCCGGTCTATATAAAGCCACGCTGTTATTTGATATGTACTGGATCTATTGCCGTCAAAAAACCTCCAAGCTAGAGAACCGAAAAACCTCTGTGCTAGGGTTTTGCGAAAGTTCCGATCTAGTTAAGCGATTAGGTTGTGGGAAAAGGTGTTTTTGGTTAATTGAAAGATGGCTCGGGCCTTGAAGTACACCTTTAGCGATTATGCGAGGAACGCAGTGAGTAGAGAGGCCTTGCTCGAACCGACTAAGGTTTGTTGAGCAATTTGGTTGTGCTTTTTCTGGGCCTCTCCCCCTATCTCTTTCTGCGACATGTAATCACTGTAATATATGCCTGACCTTGTATTCTAGCATTGTCTGTCAGTTTATTTAAAACGGTGGGTCTTGTGGGTATTCAAGAATGGCCTATTTTTATGATTCTTGCTTATCATGTAGGGATGGGGTTGATGGGTTTCCTGTAGAAACTAATTTGAAATTATTTTTCCGGATAAATCCCGATTTTTTCTTGGAAAATATAGACAAATCTGAGTTTTTCAAGGGAAAAAATTGTAGCTAATTCTAAGTATTTTTTGGGGCAAATCTTAAACAAGTTTTGCGTTTTTCTTCGTGTATATTAATATATCTCGACTCCTATGTTTTTTTGGGTAATTGAGATAGATCGTGAGTTTCTTTTTGTCATGTACTGACAAAAGAACTTGTGTTTTTTCTGAAAAAAATTGTACGTTTGAACATGTTAAATAATTACTAATGCGAATCTTAAGGTGTTTTAATTACTAATGCGAATCTTAAGGGGTTTTAATTTTGTACCTGATTAATATCACAACCCAAAACTACATTATATGTCCATCGTTGAGTGTAGTTGGGGTAAAGTTTGATCTTGGAAGGGTCAAGAACTCATAAGTTTATATCATTGACAATAAATGAGAACTAGGTTATGGACCTTGTAATGGGTTATCACTGTTTCTATCTTGATTAGAAGCTGAATTTGTGGGGTTAACTGGTGTCCATCAGGTTGGTTTTACCTAAGTAGTTTACAGGTGTAGGTTTTACCAATTTCTTTCAGACTCCGAAAGTTCAGGACTTCATAGAATTTGAAGTTAAACTTAGGCTGTTGTAATTTGTAAGTGAGTGGCTTACCACTTAGTCGTCATCTGGTTAAGTATCTCGCTACTGTCTAGTAAAACTGTACTAACCTAAAATTTAGTAATGGATCAAATGTTGGTTGTTTCTTTGATCTTATTATCTGTGCCCCAACTCTTCCAAATAATGAGTCCGTGTAACGTCAGCAGTTTCTCTACTTCTGTGATTTAGTCATGTTTTACTGGTCTGCTCTGCCAATCTTATTGAATTTATTCTGGTGCTTCAAAAGCTCCAGAGAGAAATGGAGAAAAATGGCAAGAGTAAGAAGAAGAAAGAGAGAAGGGAGATAAAGGGACAAGGGCGTAAAGAGAAGGATGAGTCCATACCTGGTTATGTTACTCTTCACAACGTGAAAAGCCTTGATGACAAAAAGTGTTTCCAGCAAAAGAAGGGCAAAAAAGGGGAAGCAAAGGGATGGTGTCCTCAAAAAATTGAACATGAAGCTGATCAACTGGAGAGAAGTGACATTACGAACGAACATGGGCTGCCAACCTGTATTGAGAACAATTGCTACTTGTCCGATGGAACCCAAAGCAGCAAGAAAAGCAAGCCTTTGATCGTTCGCATTAAATTGCTTAAGCACAACGAACCAGATGCCTCACTTGCGTGCTCTCCTTCTGGAAGGGTAGATTTGCTTCCTCCAGAGAGAACGGAAGTTGTTCTTGCACCCAATCAACCCAGTGCAGAGACAAATGTAGAACTCGGGCGGGTCTCTTCAAAACCTGATCAAGATTTACCCTGTTCAACATCAGAGGGGATCAAAACAATTGGTCAGAAGAGAAGTGCTAGTGCTGCATTTGAAGATCAGATTCAGAGTGAAGATTCACTGCATGCAACTCTGATTGAGAATTGGATCCCTCCCCCGATTCATTTTGCTGATGTTGGTGATGGTGATGAAGAATGGCTCTTTGGGACGAAGCATCAAAACAGATGTGGGTCAAAAAGATTCAAAGCTGCAAACAATGAGGTCACCAGTTGTACAAGGAGCACGCTGTGGCCACAAGCACAGTGGTTGTTGGAGGCTGGCGTATATGCATTACCCTTCACGGTTCCATTCTAGTTTCGCGTCCGTTTCTTTTTGGACCACTAGCGGCTTATATTGTACAGTTGTAATGAGCATCAACCAAACTATGATGCATTTGTTCATTAATTGATGTATTTGTTCATTAATTGATTTTTCCGATTATTCTTGCAAATGCCATTGGTCTTGTTTTGGTCTTGTCAGATTCTATGTGGGAATTTGCTTTTAGTTAAAACGTACTGGTCATTGTTGAACCATACAGCGTTTGGGAAAAAATGTTTAACCAATTCAGCATCGTAGCTTTGTTCTGCTGGCAAAGCTGATAAAATGCACACCCGCAGTTTTGTGTTGGGTTCATTATTATATACAAAAGAATCGTGTTCCTTGCTTGGGAAGAACAATGGCCTCAAAATATAAGCAGAGTTAGCATGTTGCTTTGTTAGGAAAGCAAAAAAATTTCGCTCAAAGAATAATGGTCAGGTATAGTTAAGTAGTCCTTCAACTTATAGCGGCGGGTTTTCTCAACACTTGATGCTGTATCAGTGAAACTTGATGATCTGCTACCATCGTTTGTATCAGACATGGCAGAAACCGAATGCGACTTGCAATCAATTTCCAGGAAAAGGTCATCGTCGTCGTCTTGATAAACCGACTCCCTCAATTCCATAACATGAGAATCAAAATATATATCGGCATCCGTCTCCCCTGTTAGTAGCTGCAGTATCTGGCTCACTTTTGGGCGAAGCCGAGGTGATTGGTTTATGCAAAGGCCTGCTGCCAATACCATTCTACGCATTTGGATATCATTATAGTCCCCGTTTAAGTTTGGATCCAGCAATGCTTTGAGATCCATACTGTCCAATAAATGTCTTGCCTGAATCAAAGAAAAGTGGTCAAAATCAGAATTTGGTAAAACAATTTTAAGGGTAAGTATAATGTAAAGAGAGAATGCTTACCCACTTAACCAAGCTCTCTTGCCCTTTTGGGGCCCCTGCATCAACTGGCTTTCTTCCTGATAATAATTCAAGGAGAACCACTCCAAAGGCATAAACATCAATCTTATCACTCACCATCCCATGCATGAAATATTCTGGAGCGATGTACCCAAAAGTCCCCACCACATCACTACTTATCACATAAGCAGAATCCGTCGATCCCCACATAGCAAGCCCAAAATCAGATAACTGCAACCAAAACATAAAACTAGATTCAACACAAAAGTCTACAATTGGAATATGTGGCAGATATTTTCCCATCGGCTGGGTTGCTGTATGTGTGTATGTATATACCTGTGGCAGAAGCTCGTCGGAGAGAAGAATGTTTGAGGATTTAACGTCTCTGTGAATAATGGGCGGATGACATTCATTGTGCAGGTAATTTAGAGCCTCGGCAACTGCAACTGCCACATTGAATCTCACTTCCCATGGCAGTACGATAGATCCATCACTGCAACCTGCACTAAGATGAAATGAAATTCAGGCAACTAACTATCAAACTATTTAATTTCTTTATTTGTAGGAAATTACCATGCAAGTTTCCCTCCAAGCTCCCTCTAGGAAAGAGATCATAGACCAAAATAAGGTTGCCACCTTCCGCACAGACACCAATGAGAGATGTGATGTGTTTATGCTGAATTGAAGAAACAAATTTGGCTTCCAAGAAAAAGTCATCCCAAGCTTCTTTGTATGATTTCAGAATCTTGACTGCCACTGGTTTACCATCTCTGAGACATGCTCTGTATACGCTGCTGCACCCTCCCTCGCCGATAAGATTTCCTGTGTAATAGTAAGTATAAGCCAATTGTTTAGAAAGAGAACTATGCCAAAGGCAGATCACATCAATTATGCAAACAAAAAAGAGATTTAGTTGACCTGTTGAGAACTGACAAGTTGCACTCCTAATTTCTTCATAGCTGAACAACCTGCAACCTACTGAGTTTTTTTCAATGAGAAACTCCAATTCACTAGCTAGCTTTCTTGGTGATACTGATAAGCAATTTTCATCACCATTCGTGGCATCATAACGGCGGCTCTCTCTTTCAGTTGTGTACTCTACATCCCTCAAAATCAAATCAACCTGTGGCTGTTGATTTACTGAAAATGATCGACTAGGCAAATCCATCACCCACTGAGCCACAGACTTTTTTTCTCTGGCTTTGAATTCTCTGATAGGACTCATAGTTGCTTCTGAGATAGCTCCTATCCGCAAGAGAGGCCAACCAGGCCTTGATAATGGTGATTCATCAACGTCCCTCCCCTTCAAATCACAAAGCTCTCTCTCAGGAGGAGGAGCTTCCTGACTCATCGTAGGAACAGTTAGTCTCTGAAGAGGCCAACCCAGAGTTAATTCTGACGCTGGCGACTCTATTTTGAGTGGACAAGTGGAGCTCAAAAGAGCTTCCTCCTTGACCTTGTATTGGTTTATGCCAAAGTTGTCATCTTTCAATGTCCTAGTGGTCTGAATTGCTAGCGCTTCTGCAAGGTCGCAACATAACCATTCTCCAACATGTTGGTGGTTCTCCTTGCCCGATTTCTTTTGTGATTTCTCCTTCTTGATCATCATTCAAGTTTACCCTTGAATTGAAACTTTGAAAGCTTTGGTCCCCTGAATTGGTAAGCTCCCTATAAATTTTCATTTCACGGTCATATTCATATGTATATATATATATATATATATATTATACTGCTCAGAAGCCAGAACTATATAATAATAACAGAGCCACCGGGACTAATCCATAGTTTGCACGTTGTACTTGCCTGTGAATTTAAAGCATACCTAACAGAAAAGTTAACGTTTACCAGATATATAGAAAACTAACAATGACAATATTTTTCTGGATTAAACACATGTTACCAAAATCCAAAGGAAAATACTGGGTAAGTTCATAATTTATTGGTTCTTAAAGAAGAGTGACACAAAAAGACAAACAAGATATATTACCGAAGACAGAATGAAGTTGACCCGGATCTTCTAATTTTGAACCTTTTGACGGCTACTCTTTGTATTCAAAAATCCAACCCACCTAACCATCACTTATTTATAATATACTGCCGCCAAATAAACTGCTGGTACACCTAATGTGACTAATCTTTAGCAAGTCAGAGTTATTGCCATTTGACCAAAAGCATAGATTTTGAAATCAACTTATCTTAAACTTTAGACTTGTCATCATAGATTACTACTAGGATATATTATATATAATCAAGCCATTGTTGCCGCCGCTGTAGGATTAGCATCTTGTAATACTGTTGCAAATATGCTAACACATAAGGCTTTGGTTAGCTAGGGTGAGAGACCACACGGATGCCAAAGTTTTTGAAAAATTGCAGAGACGGACACCAACCTCATGGAGATCTATTGTACAATCCTTCAAGTAAGACAAAAGCTTGAAAGAATCTGAGAATGATAAAGCTTTGCACATAAATATACATGCCCTCATTGTTCGTAATCTGACTTGATAATGGGGAAGTTACAGAAGCTTGAGTGCAACACGTTTTGTAATTAGTTCATTCCTTCGAGGTAAACAATTACCACTAGTTTTGATTCACAACTTCAAAAAATGAATGCAAATACAAGTGTTCTTTCTTACTAATCTATCCATTTCCCACAACACAAGTGAAAAGGGTTTAATAAGGGTTTAACAACACAAGTGAAAAGGGTTTAATAAGGGTTTAACAACACCAAGCTGAGGCTGAGCGGAGCTGAATGCCGAGTGGCAAGCTGGGCCTTGTTGCCCCAATACAGGCCGGTCGAAGCCCATAATTTGAGGAGCCCCTGCGACGGACTTCGTTTCGTCACTATATCTATATGGGTACATCATACTATCTAGTGGGTCCCATCCCAATACTGCATACCCAAACGGTCAAGTTTTCAACGTTTTATTTTTTATAAAATTAAATCAAATAAAGGAAATAAAAAAGAAAAAGAATTCAACCAACGTTCCTCTGGAAATCGAGAGATTATAGAATAGTACTGTACCTACTTCCTTTCAGCGAGCGGAGAGAGATCGAGAGAGAGATTATGATATTGGACGGAATCGGAGACGAAGAGAAATGGCTGGCAGAAGGAATCGCCGGCATTCAACACCATGCCTTTTACATGCATCGTGCTCTGGTACTTTAATTTCCAATTCTGATCCGAAACTACATTCCTACAAATTCTTTTATCCAATCATCTTAAACCCTAATTCTCCTCGATCTTGTCGATTTTTCAATTCCCTCAGGACGCGAACAATCTCAGAGACGCTCTCAAATACTCGGCCCTGATGCTGTCTGAGCTCCGAACCTCGAGGCTTTCGCCTCACAAATACTACGATCTCTGTAACGTTTCATTTATATTTTTCACCCAAAGGCTCTTCTAAGCATTGATTCAATTCGATATGGTGATCTAATTTTTTATTTGGACGTTTGACGTTTCATGGTTGATTTCATAGATATGCGAGCCTTCGACGAATTGAGGAAGCTGGAGATGTTCTTCAAGGACGAGAACAGACATGGTGTTTCGATTATTGATCTCTACGAACTTGTTCAGCATGCCGGCAACATATTACCAAGATTGTAAGTTGCCTAGAACTTCCATTGAATGACATCCCATCATTGTGAGGAAATGTTGTCTCTAACTTCTCAAAGTTAATTTATGCCTATTCCCTTAAGACGAGCCTTGCCATACACACAGGGTTGTGCTATGTATATGCAAGAGTTTCTTTCTCGTTTTTAATTATATACGTTGATCGTGCTTTTTTATATAATGACATATCTGCTCTCATCCAATCATATGTGTTTCATTTCTGCCTGTAGCAAAAAAGAATCTCTTTAGTGTTTAGAGATCAAATCAAGAAGATATGCATTTCAGAGTTGTGCAATGAGTTGAATTATTTGTTCCAGTTATATCAACTTTCAATGTATATGAAGTTCCTGTTGCTTATTTAACAGGTATCTCCTATGTACGGTAGGTTCTGTGTACATTAAATCTAAGGAAGCACCTGCCAAGGATGTGCTTAAAGATCTTGTGGAAATGTGTCGTGCCGTTCAACATCCAATGCGTGGGCTCTTTCTAAGAAGCTATCTTTCTCAAGTCAGTAGAGATAAGTTACCTGATATTGGTTCTGAGTATGAAGGGTAAGATTTTTTTCTTGGCCAGAATTTTTTTTTTATTTCTTGTGAAAGAAGTCTGTCATTTCAGTCGTTGATTTATCTTTTCTTTCTCTCTCTCCTTTTTTCTTTCTCCATTTCCTTGTTCAATGTTTATATGCTTGATACTACTGATTTGAAAATATATCATACATTGTCTGACAAAAAAGAGAATGATTTTTGGTTATGGAAATATATGGAATTTATCACATCTTTTTGTTCTTTCCCAGTTCTAGTTGGTTTTAGATTGAGAATAATTATAAGTCTTTGACTCCTGTATGTACATCAAATCAACAGAAGAAGAGAATATGTTATATAGGCCAATAAACATTTGCTTTTTCTGGGATGGATTTCCTGTTGCTTGATTTGATTCATATTCCAATATCCTTGCAGAGATGCTGACACTGTCATGGATGCTGTAGATTTTGTGCTACAGAATTTCACAGAGATGAATAAGCTTTGGGTTCGAATGCAGTATCAGGTTTGTTCAACATCTATGTAATTTATCTGCTCTAATGTCTGAATATGCATGGCACCAGAGTACTTGCATGCCACCATAGAGGTAAAAATGAACCATGAGGGCATGATTTTTGGCCATGCAGGTGTTATGGTGCTTGTGAATCATTCATACTCTTTGGCGATCTTGAGTTGAGGCCTTCTGTTGGGCTTTCTGGTCTGCAGGGACCTGGTCGGGTGAGAGAGAAGCATGAAAAGGAAAGAAGTGAACTTCGTGATCTTGTAATATCGAAAATCTGAATCTATCAGCAGATGAAACAGTGCATAACACGTTGTAATAGAGAAATTACACCTTTCTGAATTGTCTTGATAGGTTGGGAAAAATCTACATGTTCTCAGTCAGATAGAGGGCGTGGAACTTGAATTGTACAAAGACAATGTTCTTCCCAGAGTATTAGAACAGGTTCTTTTTTCTATTTCCCTTCTCAATAAGATTTTATTTAGTTAATTTTAAATACTTTCCCTTATGGCAGAGCCCTTTACTATCAACTTGTCTTTTTGTAATATTTCAAACTTTCATCCAAATTGGTGTGCACAGGTTATCAACTGTAAAGATGAGCTGGCCCAATATTATTTGATGGATTGCATAATCCAGGTCTTTCCAGATGAGTACCACTTGCAGACACTGGAGACATTACTGGCTGCATTCCCCCAGCTTCAGGTGGGTACCAATATCGTTTTTCTCTCCGTTGTTTGATTTTCACTTGATTGTGTATGTTTTCTTATTTATTTAAGTATATTGTTATATATGCATGTTTGAAGCCATGTTTTCCCATTATGCATAGTTGAAATAGTAGCTCAAGCCACAAAAGCCAAATTGGTTACTTGCTTTGATATCTGGTGTACGCCCAACCAAAGCAGCTTTTTGACTCATTTTACTTCTGCATTGTATATTTTCAAATGCAGCCAACGGTTGATATCAAGACTGTGTTATCTCAATTAATGGAGAGGTTATCAAATTATGCTGCGTCAAGCACAGATGTGAGTTATCTCAAAATCATCTTCTGGGTCATGCTTTTGGATTTTGTTACCACTTTTGCAATTTTTTGTGGCTTCTTCCATTCCTGGGTGTTGCAGTTTTGATGATTGTGGATTTTTCTTGTTCAAGGTATTACCTGAATTTCTTCAAGTGGAAGCCTTCTCTAAATTAAGCAGTGCTATTGGGAGGGTAAGCTGGCTATTTCCAATGTCATTGAGATTAAAAGAGATGCAACTATTTAAATTATGCAAGTTTGGGATGGTGCATTTACCCATAAGACCAACAGGGATGGTGCATTTACCCTCATGTTCTCTGCATTTAGGGATGGTGCATTTACCCACATTTCATAAAATCTAGATCATTCAACTAATCCCAATGTTTATGGGTATGCCACATTGCCTACAATAAGTTTGTTTCCTTTTTCTATAAACTAACGTCGTTACCTCTATTTTCCTCTCAACTCCCACTCATCTTCTCTTCATGTCTTATACACCCCATTTCTTTTTCTTACATTATTTTCTTGTCAGTTCAATATGAACAATCAATTTTGGCTACTAATCCCTTCTTCTTCTTTTTTTTCAATCAGTATTCATGGTGATTTGTGAAAAATCCTCTAATAGCTAGAATATAGAGCATTGATTTCTATAAATAAATAAAAACCCTTAATATGAGAAATTGAAAAATCTTTGTAGAAATTTGGCTTTAAAAGTCAAGAAGAAATGCACAAAGTCATTGCAAGTCGCAAATCTGCTCCAATCGATGGCTATCAAATTCCAAATACACTACAGCCTGAAGAAGTTGATGTATAGTTAATAGGAAATTGTATACTTACTAATATGTTGCCCCATGAACAAACTTCTCTGAGGAATACAGATGTCCTCTTCATTAGACAAGCCATTTTCTGTTTCATGTTAATTATGAAACATACATATCTTTATTGTTAGTACCCATTGTTTGAAGTCTAGAAGTGTGCTATTTTAATAAATCAGCTATACAAATTTCAGGTGATAGAAGCGCAGATTGACATGCCTATT